GTGTGTGTGTGCATGTGAATGTTGATTGATTGACTGATACTATCTTATAATTCCAATAGCAATCAGGTTACACATCTGTTTTTACTATCGTGTGAGGTCTAAATGTCTCCATAGCATCTGAAAGCCAGGACTATTTCCTCAAGCCCCTTTGTTAAAGATTTATTCTTGGTGATAGCGTTGGAGTTAGTGTAAGAAATGAGGTAAAGAGAGATAAGGGTTAAAAGCAGAGGAAGTTTATGAAGGTCAGGGAAGAATGTTCTCATAAGTGTGCGTGTTTTTGTGTCTGCAGTGCGTGAACAAGTAAAAGTTGGCACGTTTTTGCATGTTAAACTATTGTGCTGGGTAAGCACACAAATAATCTGGAACATGTGTTTGTAAAACTGCACTGTTTATATTCTCTGAAGGCAAAATAAATGCATCTGCTTATTATGTTATAATAAGAAATTATGCATGCCCAAGTAAAAACCACGCAGGCATACACAAATGTAATACTGTAGCTATGCTAAGACAGTTCCCAAAAGTCCTGAATGCTTTTCCTTGTCATCTATAAGCTCCACACAATTCATAAAATTTCTGCTTGTCTGTAAATATATCCTGACAAGCTACTCTCTCGGAGTGATGTTGCTGACACCGCTGTCTAACCCTAAATCGCTTAAGTCATTGGCATTTGCAGAACTTGGCTCCGTTTGCGGGATACATTCATTTTTAAATGCTGCAGGCTGATTAATAAAATGTGGACATCGTGCAACGGCTGCCCTGATTTCAGGGACGTTTGAAGAATTATGCAGAGGACAATCACCACAAATTAAACCCTCTTTCTTACCTCCGCTCTAAAAACACAGACATCATTTTTCCTCAGCACACTTTGATTGCAGAATCATTAATATTTCTCCTGTATGTGTCGAACAACTAAATCTTTGACATAACTTTTATCTTGTTTTCCCTTCTTCTCTTTCACACTTGCATCTGTATTTTAACGCTTTGCACGCTATCATGTCTCTCTTGTTATTCTCAAATCATACTTGTTTATTTCACAAGTTGCACATGTGTGAAATTCACAGATTTTCAAAGCCATTCATAGCATGTGGGCTCTGGCTTCAAACAGTGATACCCACCTCTACAGCTTCTGAAGCCAACTCAGTTTGCCTGTTTAGCTGGAGCTTTGCACCTCTTGCTGTCCTCTTTACTCCCTCCATCTGATCCCTCCAGATGAGAATCTCATAGCCCACTTCAAAGCATCAGCCGTTGGCCTCACTACCCTGGATCTGACAGTGTCTGACTTGTTGTTAGTCCTCTGGAGCCTGAGCCAGAGCTTGAAAGGCCTACTGCAGCCGAGCTCCAATAATCCTCTCTGCAAAGTCCAACTGGACCAAAAAGGAACACAATCTAACCCCACAGACAGGGGTGGGATGGGGCACAGACAGTAACCTTATCACGCTACATCACTGCATGAGACAGCCAGAGGCACCTTTTGTCGCCGCAGTCAAAACTAACCCTCCCTCGTTACTCCATTTTATATTCAAAGTGCTTTTACATACTGCGTCCAGCTGTACAACTATTTTGGTGCAGCAATCATTTGCATGTCCCAAAGTCAACATCAACATTACTGCAAAGCACTGGTTGTTTAATATCAGCTATAGCTAAGATTTGCCAAAAGCAGGGCGACAGCTGTGCCTGCTTCTCTTTCCAAATCATGTTATAGTGGAGGAATACAATTAGCAATCAGCTTATCCAGATGCCCATTTAGAGACTACTGACAGATTTTAGGAAGAGGAAAGCAGAAGTAGAACACTTTGGCATTTCCACATCATTAGTATTATGTGTTTTATATTTTCATATGTTTTATAATTGATCAGAATCTTCATATAACAAAAAAAGGATAGCACAAATGAAAGCAAGGAAACATGCCATGGCGTGTAAGTCACTGCTGGCTCCAGGAATTAAATATTAAGAATGGAACATTTTACAATCAGCATGGTCTGAGCTTGATAAGCATAATTTGCTGCCAACTGTATAATAAATAGGGTTCTTTGTGATAGAAATAAATGGAGGGACACGTAATCCTGACTTTTCAACAGTAGATTCAGATCCAGTAGAACAGCCATGAATTGCCAAAATATATTCTGTTTTGTCAAACAAAAAGGCTTTATGTGGTTTTGTTGGTATTAAGTGTAAAGGAATAGCTCGACATTTCGGGAAATATGCTTGTTCGCTTTCTTGCAGATGTAGTAAGATTGATATTGCTTTCCTGTCAGTACCATAAATATGAAGAAACAGCCAGCAATTTAGCTTAGCTTACAGTTTCATTACGACTTGAAACAATCTGAAAGCTAAACTTGCTCTGTCCAAAGGGAACAAAGAAGTCCAACTACCAGCACCTCTAAAGCTAATTAACTATATATGAGTTTGTTTAATCTGTAAAATTACATATTCGTTTTTTAAGGCTCTTGGCCGGCAGCAGCAACTTATTGATAAAATGGACCTGTACTTGTATAGCCTCCTTTCTAGTCTCCACCTACTCAAAGCGCGTTACACTACGTGCCACATTCACCCCTTTCCACATCACAAACGGCCATCGAACAGAAACTAACAATCATACAACATCAACACATGTAGGCCTATGCAAATTGGGTTCATGTATAAATAACGTGTGATATCTATCGACAATGGCCAGAGCCGGGAATCGAAACCAACAACCTTGGCCGATTGGGCGACACCC